GCATGTGCCCTTGACTGGAATCGAACCTGAGACCCTTCAGTCTGCAGGCTGATGCTCTATCTACTGAGCCAAACCGGTTAGGGCAGCCACTGCTTTTTAACCAGGTCCTGACACCATGATGACCAATAATGGGTATGCAGGACCCTTCCGAATGAGAGAAAGCATAAGTGGTAGCGAAGAGCAGGGACTCAAGAATTTTACTGTCTTGCTTCAAGTCTGGGGTCTACCATGTACCTGGTCTGTGGCCTTGGATATGTTTCTTATCTATAATGTGGCAATAAGAGTAGCACCCACCTGGTAATGTCCCTGGTGAGGATTAAATTAGTTAATACAGTGGGGCCTTGATTTATGAGTTTAATTTGTTCGAGACCGAGCTCGTTAAGGAGCTCGTTAAGGAGCTCGTTAACTCAAATTACTCTATCAACTCAATGCAAAAAATCAACCGAGAGACAGCTGGTATCTCAACTCGTTAGTTGGGACACTCATAAGTCAAGGCCCCACTGTATTTGTAAGTGTCCACCTAATTCCTGGGACAAAATAATACTATAAATTGTTAAATAAAATATATGTGTCAATTTGATTTTTTTCCTTTTTATTAACTTTTGAGGCTCTGCATTGACAAATCTGAAAAATGTCAAAAGTACCTCACAGTGTTATAAATTTTTTTAAAATAAAATATATATTTGCATAAACCAACAAAATTAATACCTTGGGAATTATATGTTACCAAGCATATATGGAACAGGAATGAGAATATATATTACCAAGTTGTACCCATCACTGTAACGTTGCAGTGGCCAACAATTTACTTGTCCTGATATCTTGTGGTTCTTCAAGGGGAGAAAAAGGAGGAATGTGGGTAAAAACCAAAGAACAAGCTGGAAATAGAGAAATGCTTACTTGACTATGTCACTATCTTCCTATTTCTGTTCCATGAATATGATGCCAGGAATTTAAAAGTAGATCCTCATTGAACAATTTACATTAAGTGTCCTGTAAGTGGTTTCTTAATGGAAAGTGTGACTATTACAGGTAAAATCTATCTGAGTTCTAAAATCATGAAATTACCTTGTTGTCTATACCAGCGGTCGCCAACCGGTGGTCCGTGGACCACTGCTGGTCCTTGAGGTCTGAAAGGTTGGCAACTGTTGGTCTATACTGCCATCAACAGTCTAAAGAACTTGGTAGACCACCTCCTTAGCTATGTTCAGGACAAGCTGCCGCTAGTTTTTTTGGGAGAAGATATTTTATGGGTAGTAAGTAGCATTGTGTGTCTGGGAACTATTGATTAAAAAGAAAATAAACCACCCACTCTCCTTTCTCAAGATGAAAAAAATAGTGAGGCCTTCTTACACCTGACGGAAATCGGCCGCCTGCTTATTGCCTCAGTTAAAAAACATGTCTGACCTAATATGTGGCTTGTGGTAGACATTGCTGTTGAATAGCAGCCATTAATTTAAAAACCAAACCGAAAGAAAGCTGAGAAGTAGCAAAATGACCGTACTTAGTGACATTTTCCAGATGCCACTTAACCAAACCACGCAGGACAAGAATTACTTAAAAGACATTAAGAGTTTTAATTGTTCTAGGCTTTTATTGCCTTTTAAACAATTGAGGTAAAATTTTCATTACATAAAATTGACCACTTTAGATGGAAGAAGGCATAGAGGGGATACATGGTGATGGAGGAAAAAGAATGCACACAATAAAAGAATCCCTGAGCACCCAAACAAAGGTCAGTCTATACCACAACCAGTAAGTGAGTTCTGCCAAAAAAGGAAGTACTGCTGGACTCCAATCACACTTACAACCAGACTGACTTCTTAAAAAAAAAAATTTAACCACTCTCAAGTTTAATACATTCACAGTGTTGTCAGCCATCATCTCTGTCTAGTTCCAAAACATTTTCATCACCCCAAAAGGAAACCCCCTACCCATTAAGCACTTATTTTCCATTCTTCTGGGCTTTATTCCTTTTTTGTGTGGGAAAGACTAAATGCAGGGATTGCGCGCGCGTGTGTGTGTGTGTGTGTGTGTGTGTGTGTGTACACTTTGTTTTTGTTGAGGTATTTGTATGATACTTTTTCAAAATGTGCCTTTTGCTTCCAAGGGTGAATGATCTTATTAAATGAGAAAATTTAGGCAGATTTGGCTTTCACTTTTTTAGGAGACCAAAACTGTAGGCAGAGATGACTCCTTAATTTCAGTGAAAGCACTGATTGAGGAGGACTCACTTTTAGACACAAGGGGGTAGGGTTAGCACTTAGAGAAGTACAGAATAAGATGGCTCTAAGACCAGAAAGATCTCTTCAAGGCATTGAGCTCTTTCAAAACTCCAGGAAACTTAGTCACTCCAAAAAAAAAAGCTACATTTTCACATATATTCTGTTTTCCATACTTTCTTATATCCTATTTCATTCTCTTCTCCCATCTCTTACTGTCATCTGAAGGAGAGCTAGTCAAATGGTGTTGCCAGTAAGGCCAACCTTACTGTTATGGGGCAGCTGCTATGTCTAGTTGGGATGCTTTCTGTGATGGTAAGTGAGTCCCCTTTCTAGCTTCTCTGAGAGGGAAATACAAAAGGAAATAGTTTGTTTCCCTAATCACTTTCTATGTCCATCACATATTGGTAGTCATATCGATCATAGATCATCAGAACATTTTAGAGAAGAGTTAGAGAAAATCTTAGGGGGCAGGCTTTGTTTTTTCCTCCTAAATGCCCATTTCAAATAATATTAAAGTGTGTATCATCAAGTCTACATAGTTTCAATTAATTTTGCATAGCTTGTGCTGTGTGTAAGTATAGTCTCTGTAAATAAAAGTGTAAATGCAACAAATGCTTCAGAAAGTTACCTTTTAAAGAAACTTAGCCATTTTTTGTTATCATTAATTGCTAATTTTGATATTTGAATTCATAATGCATGTAAATACTCATGTACTGTGGTTGTTTAAAGCATGATGTAGCTGTTATAGTCTTCATTTATATTTGGAGGAAATAGTTATAACAATGATATAGATCAGCTTTGATACTAAATAAATTGCTAGTGCAAAGTCATCTCCTCTCTCAGTCACCCTGGTCAGTGACTGAGAGAGGAGATAAACAAATGGAAAAAGAAATGGATGAAATAATTTATTTTGCTAGCATAGATTTTATTTATATGGAAGAATAACTATAATAGGAAATACCAAAGCCTCTTATGAAGAAGGTATTTTTACAACTAAAACTATGAAAGTAATAAAAGTAGAAATATTTGAAAATACTTATTCCATACATTATTGTGATCTTACCCTGTGTGAAATTTTGTGCCCTACATTTTTCACTCAACATGACAATGTAAACATTTCTCAATATCTGAAACTCCCTCTGAATACATCGTCCTATTTACTCATAAGGTCATGCTGATAAGTGTTATCTACTAATGGGAAAAAGAAGATGTTTAATTAAAGTGCCTGGATTTGTTCAGAGAGTGTGTCAGACATTTGGCTGGTATGGGCCAGAGCACATACTAACTGTAATCAACTAATCCCTTACCTGCTTATGATCATATCTATCAGCTCCATATCTTTCATGGTTGAATTGTGTATTAACTATTCTCACATATAAAATGTTCATTCTCTCTGAACATAAAGAGATAGGATAATAGTTTTATCAAAGCATTTAGCGGATGTTGATATGAAAGTGTTTAAGTATTGATGCCTAATCATTTAGGAAAGAGCCAAGCTTCTAGTCATTTGTCATGGTTTTAATTCTAGACATTTATCCTTTTACTAGAGGCCTGGTGCATCAACAGTCTAAAGAACTTGGTAGACCACCTCCTTAGCTGTGTTCAGGACAAGCTGCCTGGTGCATGGATTCGTGCACTGGTGGGGTCCCTCAGCTTGGCCTGCGCCCTCTCGCAATCCGGGACCCCTCGGGGGATGTCGGAGAGCCGGTTTCGGCCCGATCCCCACAGGCCAGGCTGAAACCAGCAGTCCGACATCCCCTGAGGGATGTAGCAGTGCGTGAAGTGACAGGCGCCCGGCTAGGGGTGGGCGTCATGCTGCTCCCGCTCATCCTGGCCCCGCTGCACCTGTCTGCCGCCACAGCAGCTGTGCTCGCCAGCCATGAGCCTGGCTTCTGGCTGAGGGGTCCTCCTGCTGTGGGAGTGCATTGACCACCAGGGAGCAGCTCCTGTGTTGAGTGTCTGGCCCTTGGTGGTCAGTGCTCGTCATAGCAACCGGTCAAGAGGTCGACCAGTTGTAATGGCCGCTTAGGCTTTTATATATAGATAAAGAAATATGTGTCACCTTTTGGAGTTTCTATAAGAAGGAAGTTTTATTTAACATTCTATTTTTATATAAAATGCCCTCCTTTCATTGTGGAAGAATATGATATGTGTATTTGGGGAATCTTTGTTATAGTTCCTTGAAGTTCAAATGGGAAAAATTCAGCTTTGATACATGTGCCAATTTGTTAATAATGTTTTGTGAAATGGTTTATGTAATTTAAAACCACATTGAATACTTTACTATATGAAATCTATATAATTATCATAATCATATTCTAATTCATGAAACTATCACATGGAGTCAAACTTAAAAACATTTTTTTTCTTTTAGCCAGATGAATTGTACTTTGAGGAAGGTGATATTATCTACATTACTGACATGGTAAGCCCAGCTAAAATTTTGTCATCCCATGTATGAATTAAAGATGTATAAGACTATTTTGTATAGCCATAACATTATTTAAATGTGTTTCTATCTAGAAATACATATGTTCAAGTCTATTCATTTTAGCACAGTTTATAATAGCATACGATTAAAAATACCCCATATGTCGAAAAACAAGAAAACAGTTGAATAAACCTCTGAATTGGAGTATGATGAAGCTACAAAGAGTAAGGAATACCCGTACTGTGGAGTAATTTAAGTGAAAAAAGCAAGGTGATCAAATGTGGATAGCAGGCCATCACTTATCTAAGAAAACGTGAGAGGATATACATAAACCTGTTTTCTTCAATTTGTAATAAAAAGTCAAAGGAGGAGTCGTAAAATAAAATTTGAAAAATAGTTTCTTCTGTAGGTGGGGGAGGAAAATAGAGTAGAGGGAACATAGATGGAAGATAGACTTTTTAAAAATTATACTTTATTTTGGAGATCTCACTTTGGAATCATGTAAACTTTTTCATAGTCATACAATTGAATTGGTAAAAAGCAATCCCTGAAAATTAAAAGCAGCCTGAATCAAGTGAACTTCATTGTAATAACCACACAGAGAGGATCTATTCCAAGTGACTTTAAAACTCAGCAGTTGGACTGACATCTCTAGTAGAAGATGGTTGAAGGACAAAAAGAACTGCCAAAAAAATTGTAAATTATTTTTAAGCATGATTTTGTTAGAGATTGTTAGTATCACTATTCTGAGAGAGTTGCATGTGTATTGTGGAGCAAATGAGTCATTAGGTCAGTGATGTTGAAAACTGGGATTTTCAGCCTGCAAGAAAGAATATATGGATGTAAGATCAACGAGGGTAAGTAAAAACCCTGTAGCTCTGCATTTGAATAGAACATATTTTACCTAAAATGAAACAAGACATTATCTCCTGCTCTTTACTTTGAAAAGGCCTAGAAAAAAAAAACACCAACTAATAATTCTATATTGTTTCCCATTAAAAGGATCAAGGCTCTTTTGTTGGTACCAGGTCTGGGGCAGTTAAGGTACAAGATAATCCCTAACTTCTTGTTTTTAGAATGCCAGGAAGCTACCAAGACTACCTAGGGCAGTGATGGCGAACCTATGGCACGCGTGTCAGAGGTGACACGCGAACTCATTTTTTTGGTTGATTTTTCTTTGTTAAATGGCATTTAAATACGTAAAATAAATATCAAAAATATAAGTCTTTGTTTTACTATGGTTGCAAATATCAAAGAATTTCTATATGTGACACGGCACCAGAGTTAAGTTAGGGTTTTTCAAAATGCTGACACGCCGAGCTCAAAAGGTTCGCCATCACTGACCTAGGGTCACGTTAGAAAGACACAGGAACTATGGTGAAGAGGCTGCCACTAGCCAAAGACAGGACAACTTGAGCAGTCAATTAGAGTAGCAATTCCCAAGGATTGAAACACATTTACTATGCTTAAATTATGAATTCCTAATGATATATCAAAATAAACATTATCAGACACCCTGAGAGGATGTGAGGGAACCAACTTTTTATTCTGACATCTGTTACGGTAAATAATCAGCATTTATTCTGCCTTTTTTTCATGAATTTCATCTCTGGAGAGCCTGGGAGTTGATGAGGGAGAGTTTCTCTTTAAAGAGGTATTCTAGTTATTTAAATGACGTGGGAATGATGGAATTAGAATGTCATCCTTTTTGCAACCCCTATGAAATAATGGATCCAGATAATGCTCTTCAGTGGTTACTAACATTCCAAAAGGAGAGATCACCAGACATTGTGTGTCTTTCGATGAGAGAGATCAAGATGAAATAGTCTTGCCAAAAAAAATTGAATCTAAATCTAATTAAGCCTCTAAAACTAATGAACAATTTAGAGGCAATACAGGGAACAGAAAAACACATTTTTGCTAACACAGGAATTCAACAGGCAAAATCCAGGCTGTTGGAAACTACAAAACAAATGGATGATTTTTTTTTCCAACAAGTAGACTGTGAAGGAGTGAAAAAACAAAGAAGGGGGAACCTATAGAATAAAAGAGACTTAAGAGGCAAATCAATCAATCCTATTGTTTGGCTCTTATTTGGATTGCAAGTTATGGAACAGCTGGAAAATTTAAGTATTGATTTAGATATTTGATGATACTAAGAAATTGTTGAAACAATTTGAATCTGTGATAATGTTATAATTATGTCTGAGAAGTCCTTATCTTTCAGAGATACATATTGAAATATTTGCAGATATTGAAATAATATGATGTCTAGAATTTATTTCAAGTTAATCTGAAGGGGAGGAAAGTTATAGGTGGGGGTGTATATGAAGCAATATTGTCCATAAGTAAATAATTCATGTGATTGAAAATGGGTACGTGTAGGTTCATTTAGTGTTCTTTCTACTTTTGTATAGGTTTGGATTATTCTGTAATAAAAATTTATCTCAAAAATAAAGGTGAAATAAAGAGATCTTTAGAAAACAAACAAACAAAAAGTCTTGACGCTAATAAAAATTAGTCTGGACAAAAAAATTCTATACGTAGTCTATATAAACCAAATGTAATTTTTTTCTTTTCATTCGTATTATCTCGGTTTGATCTGTTTGATTGTTGAGGCTCTGTGATGAAATGCGTTTAATTTGTTGCAGACAGATGTGTGAATATTTGTAATTTAGTGATAAGGTGAATGGACACCCGTAACTAGGAAATGAGGAAGCTTGATGATTGTGAGCAGGGCCGATGGGCATTTTGTAGAGCTGGTACGCTCCATGAGAGTCCAATGGTGTTAAAAGTGATTGAATGTACACTGGATTTGGTACCACTTAAAACTCTTCTTTCCCCAGAGTGATACCAGTTGGTGGAAAGGCACCTCCAAAGGCAGGACTGGACTAATCCCAAGCAACTATGGTAAGCATGGCCGGGGCTGCACTTCGGTATGCTCTGTGCACTTCCAGTTCTCTGGCTCCTGAGGCCTTTCTGCTTGTTGCTCTGGCTGAGAAATCAATGGAGTCACTGTCAGTGTAGGACATTTTCTTCTCCGTGAGCCTCCTGTTAATAAAATGGTCATGGACAGTAGAAGTGCTTGAGCCTTGACTCATTGGCTTAAGAAAAGGCATTGTAGCATTCTTGAAAGGACCCAGGGTTTCCAAGGAAACACACGTTTTACTTCATTCAACTCTTAGAACTTTTTTTTTTTGCTGTTAAATTACATCTCACGGATGGTTTCTTAGACTAGCCTTTTCTTTCCTGATGAAGTAACCCTGCCTTGTTAATTCATTTTGGGGGCAGTGATGTTCATCAGATGCCTATCAGGGCCGGTTTGGGCAGCTTGACCAGAGAGATGTGGCCCCTGCTCTGAACACACTTGTAGTTGGAGGGAGGAGAAAGCAGAGTTTCCTAGAAATCGGCAAAGTCAATAGAGCCCAGGATTGATAAACAAGGGTCCTGGGTTCTAATACTTTTCCTTCCACTTCCTAATAACCAGGCACCTTGCTGAAGGCACTGCACTGCTACCTCCAGGACTGTTCCCTATCTGTATGATTTAAAGGTCCATTTAACTCACATCTAAGGTTCCTTTTGACTTTGGCATTGGATGCATCCTTAGCCCAATGGGGCTGGTATCAGGCACCAGTTCTAAGCACTGGAAGGGGTCTTTAGAAAATTTCAAGGAAGGCACTTGAAAGCTCCTAGTGGGAGGGGGAGGGCTGAGGCTTGGGGCCCAACACAGAGGCCCCACCTGCCCTGGTTTTAGGGCGATACTGTTCTGGATTTAAAAAGACTTTAAACATTTCTACATTTCTCTAACCTTGAAAATCTCAAATATACCTGATTCCCGAGGGTGTAAAATGTTCATAGACACTGAGAGTGTAAAATGTGGCCCTGGGTCCCTGGTAGCCAAGGGAGTATCCAGTTCCAGCCCTTTATGGAGGGAGGGGTGTGTCTGAAGTTTCATTGGGACAGTAGTCTTGTCACCCCTGCTGATTCTAGGATAGCAGTGAACACGCCTTCCTTGGAGGCAGGTAGGTGTACTCATTGCCCTTTCTAAATACAGGAAGCAAAATATTTTCCTCTCTCCCTCCTCCCCCCATACATACACACTGGAAACAATGATTTTCAGCCATCTTCATAGAGCGTGCTTTTTCAGAACGTAAAAATGAACATCAAAGTCTTTCTTTTGTATTTTTGTGACTAAATTTGTTTATTAAATACTGGAATAAACTGGTATGCAGGCCATGGATCTGTTTGTTTTGTTTATACTTGCAGTTAATTGCTATGTTATTGTGTTATTGCTTAGCTTGGTTTCATTGAACACATAATTCAGCTTCTTTTAAAGCGGGAAACACCATTTAGATTTTCTGCTATTCTGCTCCCCTCCCTACCTCCCCTTCCACCTGGGGGACTGTGAAGGCTTTAGTGAACCATTTGGGTGCCACTCTCAACGCTGGGTTTATACTTTATCTTTCCCGTCTAGTGGCTGAGCAGGCGGAATCCATTGACAATCCATTGCATGAAGCTGCAAAAAGAGGTAGGTGTGATTCTTTTCGACTGAGATATGCAGAACAGTGACACACAGAGATTTTAATTATACAGTTTGGTGACTTTTGACAAATGTGTACAGCCATGTAACCAATACCAAGATCAAGATCCAAGATCTAGAATGTTTCTGTCATCCCAGAAAGTTCCCATTCTAGTTAAATCCCTGTCTCCCCCAGAGGCAGTCTCTGTTCTGCCTTCTGTCATCCTAGAGAGATACGTGTAATTTTGATTTTAAATTGTCAGTCACTCACACTTTTGAGTCCCGTGCTCAGTGGCAAGTGGAAAGGAATGGTCTGTGACTCCCAGAGGTTAAAGTCTGGAAAGAGAGAGAGGTGTGTGACAGAACAAGATGGTGTGATATGTACGGCAATGGAAGCGTGTTTGAGTTAAACAGGTTCCAGAGGCCAGAATGAGTAACAGGAGGGCAGGAGGGTGGGGGCTTCTTGGGGGTACGGCATTTGGGAGAGTGTTGATGGTGTGTGTGATAAGGGTGGAATCAGGGAAGGAGGGAGCAACAGGATGGGCCTTGTACCGGAGGCTTTATCCTGTAGATCAGTAGTTTTCCACTGAGGGTAATTCCCTCCCTCCACACCCTAGAACATTTGGCAATATCTGGAGACATTTTGACTGCCATGACTAGGGGAATACCACTGGCACCTTTTGGGTAGAGGCTGGGGATGTTGCTGAATATGCTATAGGGTACAGGACAGCACCGATAACAAAGAATTCTCCAACCTCAAATGTCAATAAGTCTACTGTTGAGAAACCCTGCATGGGGAGTGTTTGCAAGGATTCTTTTATTCCATTTTAGGTCGTTTTGAAATCTGAATATGCAAAAGGAAATTATTGGCTTAGGATTGTGCATAAGTAGAGCTACAAAACTGACATTTAAAACTTTTTTTTTGTAAATTAGTTATTTAGTGCATTAGCCAGGGGATTTTAAATCAGTATGATACTTTAATATATGAGTAGAAAGTCTGAGTAGGTTATTTAGTGTTTCTTTTCTTGTAAGAACTGAAAGTGCATTTAAAATAAGAATATAGGTAGTGTCTGCTTTTTCTTAGGTTTGACTCCCCCCCCCCCCAAATTTCAGGAATTCACAAAGGAAAAAATATCTATTTTTTATAGAGTAAAAATACCTTAATCAGACCCATTTAGGCAACTTTTCCCATTAACCTACTATTAAAAATTGATGTTAATGCTTTCCATTAATAAACTGGAAGTCAAAATATACCATAATAGATGCATTACTCAGCAGGTCTTATTTTCAGACTTGCTGATTAAGCCATTGCAAGTGGAAATGTATGCAGGAAGAAATTGATTTAAAGGCCAAACAAAAAACAAAATTCTTTTTCATGTGTTTTTATAAATGTAAATTTTTTTTTTTTCAGGAAACTTGAGCTGGTTGAGAGAGTGTCTGGACAACCGAGTTGGTGTCAATGGCTTAGACAAAGCTGGCAGCACTGCCTTGTACTGGGCTTGTCACGGGGGTCACAAAGGTATTCCATTTTGTTTGTTACCATAAATGTCTGTGCTTCTGAAAAATGTACTTCATCTAGGGGAGTCAGATTTACAGAAATGAAAAAAAAAATTGGTTATTCTTTTCAAATCCTTTAGAACATCAGCCAATAACCCTGATCCTGGAAGCTTTCTTTGTAACACAGTAGGTTGAATGTCATCAGTCAGCCTTCCTACATGGACCTCTTTGACTTGAAAGAATGGAAGCTTCCTTTCCTCAGACTTGGCACAGTTACAGGAAAACAACAGTCATTTAAAAACAAACCCCAATATCTAATCTTACAGAAGAAAGGGGCAGAATGGACTCCTCTAGCTTAGCTTTTTCCATGACATATGCTTTGATCATATACATTTGAAGATTAATGCAAACTGCTAGATTCAGGAGAAAGAGCATTTGCTTGAGTTAGTGATTCAGTTGGTAACTTTCTCTGTTATAGTCCCTCGTAATAATGACAGATGGAATTTCTGGATGTATTTCAAACTGGCCAACATTCTGTCACAACCACTCTCTTTACACCTCTCTCTACAACCCAAAAACATAATCCCAACAACAATGAGAAACAAAAAAACCCAACAAATTAAATAGCACATAGCTAAAGGGAAATTTATGGTTGTGTCCCAAAAGATACCCAGTTTATTTTAGCTAATAAACACAAGTTAGTGATATAAATATTAGGTATCATAGCAAATGTAAAAATACTCCTATAATAGATGTCATGTGAAAATGCAAAAGCCAAATTGTTTGGGGGAAAAAAATTCCCCAAGTAATTCTCCCTTTTAGAGTCTTAAGATTTCAATTTAGATATATTTTGAAAAATTTGTTGTAAGGATTTTCTTGAAGATTCTTCTAAAGAATTCTCTTCTTTAAACTTATTATGCCTAGTTTTATCAGACTTTAAAAAAAATCTTAAAAATTATTATTTTTTCTACTTGAGATCAACCGAAGGACTTATATGCATGCATATAAGCATAACCAATGGACATAAGACACTAGGGGGTAGGGAAGGCCAGGAGATTGTCAAGGGCGAGGGAAAAAAGGAGACATATGTAATACCCTTTGTAATACTTTAAGCAATAAAAAAAAATTATTATTTTTTCTCCTTGAATTTCAGATATAGTAGAAATGCTATTTACTCAGCCAAACATTGAACTGGACCAACAGGTAAGATTCTTTACATGAAAGTCATTTAACACACCTGTCTTGTTCTTTCTGTGCAGCTTATGGGCATGAAAAAATCATATCATAGTGTCTTGAAAATCATATCATGAATCACATGTTTTCAAGTAGATTCCTGAGAGAGGGGAGCTTGCTACTGATTATTTGGTTGACAGAATTATAGGTTGTAAATGGTTTCTTTCCAAATTTTGCAGGCATGCCTCCATGGTATTCTACTCTCTGGGGTTGCTTTTGAGAGGTTTGATGCCATTTTGATTCCCATTCTTTTGTGTGTGATCTACTTTTCCTCTTCATTGGCATCTTTGACTTTGGTGTTCTAAAATTTCACAGTGATGGGCTTCCGTGTGGGTCTTTTCCCAGTAACCATGGTGAATGTTTTCAGCCTGGAAAAATATCTTGTATTATTTCTTTTATAGTTCATATGCTCATTCTCTGATCATTTTCTTTGTTCTTTGGTTCTGAATACCCATTAGTAGCTATGTTAGACCTCTGAGGTTGAACCTCCGATTTTCTTAGTTCTAAGATTTTTCTCACTTTTATCTTCATGTTTTATTTTGGTTGCCTTTTCTGTTTTATAACTTTTCTATTGCTATGTAACAAATTACCACAAAAATAGCAGCCTAAAATAACACCCATTTACCTTGTATTTTCTGTAGACCAAAATGACGGAGATGGGTTCTCTGCTCAGGTCTCATAGGTTGGAATATAGGTATGGCTAGAGCGGGATTCTCAAATGGAGATCACATCCTTTTCCAAGCTCTTGAGGTTGCCAGGAGACTTGAGTTTCTTGTACTGGTAGTAATGTGGACCTCAGCTTTCCGAGACCACTCATCTCTATAGACAGTTCACAGCATGACTATTTGCTTTCTTCCTCAAGGCCAGTGGCAGACTGTGTCTCTGATACTATACCTGTTTTTGGGAAAGGGCACACCTGATTAGGTCAGGCCTACCCAGTATAATCTTCCTTTTGATGAACTCCACATCAACTGATTAGACACCTAATTATGGGAGTGATATTTTATTATATTTACTGGTCTCGACCACGACTCAAAGGGAGGGAATTATATAGTGGGTGTGTGCCAGGAGCAGGAGTCTTGGGGGCAGTCTTAAAATTCTGTTTACCCCAAGCTCTTTCTTTTACTCTGATTGTTATTTTAAATAGCGTTCTTTATTTCTTGTTTCATTATTTAATATTGCCTTATATCTCTGATGTTAATTATAGCTTTTGAAAACATTTCCTGCTATTCACAGTACTGTATCTTTTCCCTCAGAGATTCATTGGACTTTTTGTTTTGGTTCTTTTTCAAATACAGGAGATTTTCCTCAAATACCTAGTGTCTTTGTCCCTTCATGTTTAAGTGTAATTAGAAGCTCTGTGTGCTTATGGGGCTTGTTGTCTGGTGGGCTTCTCCACAGGGCGAAGTGGTGAAGTCCTGGCTGTTTTGTTGGGTTGTCCCTATGTGCCAGGATGAGTACTCCCTCCCTCCTCCACATGTGGGGCTGATCAGCTTCAACGGAAAAGTAACCTCCAGCTTCCTGGGAGAGTGGTCTTACTGCTCAGGTTTTAGGTTTTTCAGCTAGCCCCTGGTTGTATTTCCTGGCCTTATTGCCACCTTCTTTTGTACCTAGTGTCCATGAGCTAGAAAACTCTCTGGTTAATTTCTTGACAGGGTAATTCTAGCATCTGTACTGAATCCTCTGGCAGCAAGGAGAGAGGCAGGTGATCTGGGGTTCTGGGGCTACTTCTTATAAACACTTTTTCCCAGTACCCTTGGTTTCACCCCCATGCCTCATTCCTGCTCCAGTGTCTCTAGGCATCTCCAGTTCCCAGTTCATGCCAGGTTTCTGTGGAAGGAAGTCTGCTGGCTTCCTCCTGGTGTCTTGCTCTGCAGGCCTCTGTGTTTCCGTTTGGGTTCTGTCACTGCAGTTTCTCTTCCTCCATCCCATTCCATCTCCCTACATGTCTCATCTCCCATCTCTTGAGTCTCCTTTCCCTCTTTGGAATTTTATATGATTTTGTAACTTTCTTCTCATTTGAGGTTTACTTAGAGCAGTAATTTTCAAATGGTGTGCTACAAGAATTTTTAAAACGTGTAATACCTGACTATTTAGTCAGGGGCACTGACCTCTTTTCCCTTAGATTGTCAAATAAAAAAATGACCACAGACAACACAATAGTAGCTGTCCTGTGCGAATGCCCTGTCTTGAACCATAAATATATAGGACATATCCTGGTCACGTTGTATAATAAGGTTGTGCTTGTTTAGTTAATTCTTAGTACCAGAAATCCTTATATACATGTATAGGCACCTGATTTTTTAAAAAGTCACTTTTACCCAGGCCAGGTAGCTTAGTTGATTAGAGTGTCATCCTGATAGGCCAAGAATGCAGGTTCAATCCTGGTCAGGGCACATACAAGAATTAACCAATGGATGCATGAATAAGTGGAATAACAAATTGATGTTTTAGAAATAAATAAATTAATTAAAAGTTACGTTGGAGCAAAAAGGATAGGTAATTACATTAATTATTTTTTTTGTAAACCAAAGTTATACCTATTTTTTCTTGTTGGCTTGGCAAAAAATATTTTTTTGGCTGTTCCGCAGAATTATTATAATTAGTTTATGTGTGCCATGAGTTGAAAAGGTTGAAAATCACTGACTTAGAGTAAGCTAAAATTCCTGTGTTTTCAGTCTACACTCTATTTTTAAAATGTTACTTTTTTTCTTTGTTAATTTTTTAAATTGAATTTATTGGGATGACATTGGTTAATAAAGTTACATAGGTTTCCGGTGTATAATTCTATAATACATTATCTGTACAATGTTTTGTGTGTTCACCACCCTGTTATGCTAAGTGAAATAAGCAAGTCAGAGAAAGACAAGTACTATATTTCTTTTTTTTAAATCCTCACCTGAGTATATGTTTTACTGATTTTAGAGAGAGGGGTAGGGAGAGAGAGGGAGAGAGAGATAGAGGAAGAGAGAGAGAGGAAGAGTGAGAGAGAGAGAGAGAGAGAGAGAGAGAGAGATGAGAGAAACATCGATTGGTTGCCTCCCGTATGTGCCTCCACTGGGGATCAAACCCACAACCTAGGTATACGCCCTGACCAGGAATTGAACCGGCAACCTTTTGGTGCACAGGACGATGCTCCAATCAGCTGAGCCACACCAGCCAGGGCATCATATGATTTCACTCATGTGGAATCTACTGAACAAAATGAACGAACAAACAAAATAGAAACAGACTCATAGATAGTAAACAGACTGACAGCTGTCAGAGGGGATGGGGGTTGTGAGGGCTGGGTGAAAAAGGTGGGGGGATTAAGCTACTTTCTCTTTTTATCACCATAGAACAAGTTGGGAGACACAGCTTTGCATGCTGCTGCCTGGAAGGGTTATGCAGATATTGTCGAGTTGCTTCTGGCAAAAGGTAAAGTGTGCTGAGTTTACCTGGTCTTTGCTTATCCTGAAAAATAGGCTACATCCAATTACACCAGCAGGAAGAATAGGAAAAATAATAGCCTCCTTATTTTTTAAAACTGGGATTTTTAACCTCTACTCTGTATCACAGAGTTGTTATGATAAGATGGAATTATTTCGATGATTTGTATAAGTTTTAAATTTTAAATTAAAACTGTGGTAAGCTTTAAAATTAAATATATTAATTTTAGTAAGAATTTATTGTACATTTCTGTAGGATTAAAGGACCTTAGAAGAAGAAAGAGTTGTTGTGGTGTGTGTGTGTGTGTGTGTGTGTGTGTGTGTGTGAGAGAGAGAGAGAGAGAGAGAGAGAGAGAGAGAGAGAGAGACAACGAACAGACAGAGGAGGTCCTCTCTGAGAAAGCTGTATGGGTAAAGTTTCTGAGGCTCCTGTTCTCACAGGAAAGTCTTGATAGCTAAGAAAGATTTCTGTGGCTGCAGTGTCCTGCTCTGACTGAGCAGGTGTTAGATGTATAGAGAATGAGAGAAGATCCCTTAATTCCCTGTTTTTACATAAATCAGAGGGGACTGTGAAATTATGGACTGACTTTCCATTCAGCCATTTGTCCCACAAATACTCATTAACCCTTACAGCGAACCAGGCATAACACCCTGGTCTGGAAGGCTATAATATAAGATGCTTGAGCCCCAAAGCCCTGTTACATGGACGTACTATCGTTAGGGCTCCTTAGAGCAATGTTGGCATATAGGAGAGGAAATGTTTTTGATGTAAAGTATATTGATGATGTGAACTCTTGGTCTAAAAGATTGGACACCACTTTAGTTGTGCTTCCCCCAAAGTTATGCCGAGAGCTGTGCTATCAGTACGGAGCCAGTGGCCACGTGCACACTTGAGCCCCTGAAATAAGGCTAGTGTGAACTGAGATGTGCTGTAGGTTTAAAATGCACCCCAGATTTTGAAGACTTAATAAAAAAAAGTAAAATATCATAATCATTTTTATAATGGTTACATAATGGAGTGATAACATTTCAGATATACAGGGTAAAATAAAGTATATTGTTTAAATGAATTTCACTTTTGGAAAATGCGGCCACTAGAAAATTGAAAATTACATATATGGCTCTAATTTGTTGAAGAGGCTGTGTTTGCAAAGAGAATGGTACTCTCACACATTGTGGCAGGAAGTGAAAATTGCTAAAGCCTTCTTGGGAAGCAGTCTGACAGGAGCTAGCAGAATTAGATATGTACATATTCTTACATTTCAACACCACTTTTAGGAAACCATCCTTCAGAAACACACACACACACACACATACACACGCATACAAAGATGTTGTTCAAGGAGTTCATGGCAGAATTGTTTGCGATCATGAAAATTAGAAACAACAGCTAAGTGCCCCCCAATAGAGGAGAGATTAAATAAATTTTGGCCCATCCACAAGATGGAATACTTATAAACATTTAAATAGGTTGAGTTATAAGTATGTGTGCTACTAAGGAAGTAGTACCATTATAAATTAAGTTAAAAAAAATCTTGGAGTCAAAGGGTATAAACTTCCAGTTATAAAATAAGTCATGGGGATGTAATGCACAGCATGGTGATATAGTTAATAATACTGTATTGCATATTTGAAAGTTGCTAATAGAATAGATCTTAAAACTTCTCATCACGTAAAAAAAAGCTTTTTGTAATTGAATGGTGAAGGATGTTAACTAGACATTGTGGTGATCATTTCACAATATCTATAAATACTGAACCATGTACACTTGAAACTAATATAATTTTATGTCAATTAAATGTCAGCTAAAAAATGAAATGACAGACCAATACATGTAGTTTGATTTTGTGTGGATGCACATATATGTCTGTGAATGCATCCATGCACTTGAAGGAGATAACTGAAGCCTACTTGTGGGGCATGGGTTTCTACCTCTGAAGAAGGTAGAAAATGGGGAAGGGTGCATTTGTTGGGAGATAAAATGGGACATATGGATTTGGTCAGCATACTTCTGTATTTTGAATCTTTAATGATGAGAATGTATTCATGAATGCTGATATAATTTTTAACACAATTAAGACAAGGAAAAAAGTATGTAGAAGATAGGTTATGGGAATCATGATAAGTTTTATTATCTTACTATTTTGCTAATTTACATGAGAATATACTTATAGACCTAAAATATTAATCCCCCCTCAAGCTCAACCCACATGATCTTTCCCAAAGACCTTGAACAGAAGGGGCAAAGGGCATATTGAATTTAATCTCCAAACAATCATGCTGAGGCATAGTAACTAGTGGGGTCGAACTGATTTAGGATTTACCAGAGGATGATAAGCTCCTCACTGAAAAATTCACATCAAATTCTACAGGGACTTGAAGGGAAAGGCTATATTTTGATTGTGCATAATATCACAGGTGCAGCAACAAGCTCCCTGATTAAAGATGCCAAATACACTATTATTGGTTTGAGAAAGTTTTTCTGTTTTGAAAAAACTTACTTCTGAGCCAGTAAAGTTCTCCAGTTAGTTTTGCCAAAGGTAATCAGTTTTGGTGGAAAGAGTATTGCTGTGCTACAGTGTTCAAAAACATCTAATTTACGTTTCTTGTGTTGGGAAAGGTGCTAGAACAGATTTAAGAAACAATGAGAAGAAGCTGGCCCTGGACATGGCTACTAACGCTGCCTGCGCAACTCTCCTGAAAAAGAAACAGGGAACAGGTATTTTTTGTTGTTTTTTTAAAAATATATTTTTATTGATTTCAGAGAGGAAGGGAGGGGAGAAAGAGATAGATAGAAACTTCAGTGATGAGAGAGAATCATTGATCAGCTGCCTCCTGCATGCCCCACACTGGGGGTTGAGCTCACAACCTGGACATGTGCTCTAACCCGGAATCGAACCGTGACCTCCTGGTTCATAGGTTGACACTCAACCACTGAGCCACGCCAGCTGGGCAGGTATTTGGTTTTAACCCTTCTTTTTCAATGGTGCTGTCATGACTAAGGTTTCTCAACTTAGTATTAGGAAAAAAAAAATTTCTTGATAAACTCTTCAGGTGATTCTGAAGTTAGATTGTCTATCCTTGGTCTAAATCAGAACCTCCAACACAGAAGAGTACCCTCATGTAAACAAATTTGAAGAGACAAATTAAACATACAAATTTTTGTATATTTCTTAGTTTCTTACAATCAAATTCTAATCACTTTGCTTTCCATTATAGTCCTTTTCAGAGAACCATGGTCTCCATCTCTTCTTTTCAGATACATTTTTATGAGTGGATATCTCTAACTATTTTTTAACTTAAGCATTCAACAGCTCCATGATTATATTTTGTTTCTGTTTTAAATGAGAACATCAATAAACTATTTTAGCCCAGCTGGTGTGGCTCAGTGGTTGAGCATCCACCTATGAACCAGGAGATCACGGTTCGTTTACTAGTCAGGGCACATGCCTGGGTTGTGGGCTCGATCCCCAGTGAGGGGTGTGCAGGAGGCAGCTGTTCAATGATTCTCTCTCCTCATTGATGTTTCTATCTATCTCTTTCTCCCTCTCCCTTCCTCTCTGAAATCAATAAAAATACATTAAAATATTTTACACTTTGTAAACATTTTGGCATTTATTTGTAGTACTGTGGATGGTTTTTAAAGATGAAGTTTAGGTATATATTCTTAAAGATAAAAATAGCTATTGATGTGGGAGAATAGGTTTGAAAAAAATGAAAAGATTGTGTGGTTGTTTTGAAAAAATGTTAAAGAAAGGTGTTAAACAGCATTGCAGTCATTCCTGATTACTACTCAGAGACCGGGTGTTTATTTGACCTCTCAGTACATAGCCTACTGAATGTGTCCCCCAGAATCATTCTAATGTGATTCCTGAAAGAAATGCTGGAGGGTGTGCCTTGAACTCTTCTTCCTATCCTTCTCTTCTGATTCCCCTCTTCATTCATCATTAGCCTATCAGCCCCTGAGAAACCCAGAGATGTAGGAAAAGAAAGGTAGGATATGATTTGGTTAGAGGGAACTTCTCGTCTCTTTTTTCTCACATCTCAAGCCTTACTCTACTTTATGTTTGGCATTTTAATACCACTTTGAAGTATGTAATTAATACATATTTTTCACTGTTTTTTTTTTAAAGGAACCAGTATAATGTTTTTTCCAAATTTTTAGCACTGCTACTCATCATTCCAACCCTTCTTAGTGTTGCTTTAGAGCAGGGGTGGGGAATGTCTGGCCTGCAGGCCTTCTAAGGCCCACAAAATCATTGGTTTGGCCTGGCTGGCGTGGCTCAGTAGTTGAGTGTCGACCTATGAACCAGGAGGTCATGGTTCAATTCCTATTCAGGGCATCTGCCCCAGTTGCAGGTTCGATCCCCAGTGTGGGGCAAGCTGCTGGATGATTCTCTCTTGTCATTGATGTTTCTATCTCTTTCTCCTTCTCCCTTCCTCTCTGAAAAAATAAAAAAAACATGTATCATTGGTCTGGCCCTGCCAATGCATTAGGGGTGAGTTAATTAAATGTTTGACCAAATATAGCAGTCTAATTTTTAAGGTGATAATTTTGTATGGCCCATGAATGAATTTTTAAATATCTAAATGGCCCTGGGCAGAAAAAAGATTCCCCACCCTTGCTTTAAAGTTTAGACTGATCAATCTTGGTGGAGAACTACAATATAACTTTTGAAAAATCTTTATTATAGAGGCTAAAGTGCATTTGTTTTCATTTTAACTTGAAGGTATTATCGCTTTCAGAGTTTGTGTAATGAGATACTGATTTCTGTTTTTATCATTTGAATTGATTTCCCATTAAGTTTTGAACCCTGGGAAAACTTATTTCTCCCTCAGGTATCCTTTCATTTATGAGAAGAGGCAATCTTATGTTGTCCTATACATATTCCATTCCTAGCAGAAGCAACAAAATAAAGTCAGTCCCCTGGTTTCCTGTTTCAGCCCATCAGAAATATCACAGTCCCCTTCTCTTCCTGGCTCACCAACAGAGCTTCCCAGAATTATCCTCCTGACCGATTATGGGATTCCCATCACAGCCCTCCTCTCAAATCTATTGTTCCCTTTTGTCCTTTATTCCAGATGTGTGTTTGTTCCAGATCCTTATTTCTTTTAACTTCAGATATATAATGTAAGCTGTTAAGCAGTTTGGGACTCTTTAATTATTTAAGCCATGTGTGCTCACCAGCAGAGCAAACCTTTCTTTAAAGTAATTGCTCCTACAGAGATGAAATAGGTTCTGGTAAGTGAGAGGGAAAGTATTTACCAGCTGAGTGGTGCTCCCCAGCTGCATTGTTGCTGAGCAGCTATGTGCAGCCTGCGGGAGAGAGACTGTTACTTGAGGTGGACCTCGGACTCCTTGCTGCCTGGGTTGGGTTAGGAAGTAGGACTCTGGCCTAATTTCCTTTCTCTGCCATCGACTTCCTGTTGCTCTGCGGGTATCTTCAGAATGTCCTTGACCGAGGGGTAAGGTTTCTTGTGAGCTGAAGGTTATCAGAAGCTTGTGCATAGTGTGAGCTTGATCATGATAGACAAGGGAAATGCCAAATGTGCTCAGCCCCTAGAGAGCTGCACCCGGAAGCCTTGACGTGAGCAGCTGGACCAGGGAGGGGCAGGTGGCCAGCTCTCCTCTGTCTCTCACCTTTTTGACGTTTTTGTAGAATAGGGCTAGGAGATGGGCACTCTTTTTCTCTGTTCACTCCAAGTGTCTTTAGCATGCCTTCCTACGTACGTACTGATTGGATAATGGATTTGTTAGGGAGGTAATCTTGGGGCCTGGCATACAGAGCCAAGAATGGAATTTTCATATTTTGATTTTCATGTTACCTTTTTCTTTCTTTTCTGTTTTTCTGCTTCACTACCCCAGCAATCCAGTTAAAATTTTTTAATTTGTATTTTGATCCTAGTTGGAATGAGAGTTTAAATATTGAGCTGTGTCACTAATTGCCAGCATGAACTCTCAGCTGGACAAGGTATATTCTGATGTCATTGTCCACTTCTTGGATTTTTTTTGATAGGAAAAAAATAATTCATTTGTTTTAATTACTATGAAGGATAACTTTAGGACACAAGGGTGGGGTAAGAGTCATATTTGAGGGTTGAACCCTTTAATCCTTTTTCTAATAAAAAATTGGGGTACAATTTACAGTAAGTGAAGTACATAAATTCTAAGTGTACAGCTAAGTGATAATTTTTTATTTTTACTGTGCGTACACTTATTTGCCACAACCCAGATCAAGATGGAAAACATTTCCAACCTCCAGAGGCCTCCCTTAGTATCATTACTTCTCTTACCATAGATTAGCTTTGCCAGTTCTTGAACTTGATATAAATGGAATAAAGCAGTATGTACTTTTTTGTGTCTTTTCCTTAACATTACTTCTGTGATGTTTGTCCATGTTATGTGTTTATCCCTCCACCAGTTATTTATGTCTGTCTGTCTGTCTGTCTGTTCGAAGTACTGATGCTTGACTTGGAACATGTGAGTCCAGGGCACTGAGACTGAAGAAAAATGGAAGTGAGGTAGGGGAGGTTGGAAGTGCTGCTGGGTGATACGTTATCATGCTGGGCATGAACCAAGATAGGCTATGAAGAGATACAGCTCATGACTCAGCATTTGTCCACATGAGAAGTTTCCAGAGAAACTGCCTCAGAGAGGTCAGTGAAAGGAAGGGAGGAAAAAGAATTTATTTGCCTGGCTCATTTCTGTCCCTTGAGTTCCATTCAGTCTGAGTTTGCACCATGGCAGGTTATCCTTCTCTTGCTAACAGGAGAAACGAGGTTAAAACAAAGTGCAGAAGTAACCACTGAAGGACAAGTAGTATCTCAAATACCGCAAAAGGCAGGATTGTAGTAGCAAAGTAGGAGGGAAAAGAACTTTGCTGTTTGTCTCTTTGTCTTTTACTTAAAGCTGCTGTTACCAAGTTAGTAGCCAGTCCCGAAGTTTGTGTGTGGGATAGAACAAAATACATTGCTCCCAGGTCTCCAGAACTCCTCTTAGGAGAATGGAGAAGAATATAGTCAATCTGGAGACTTCTAATAGTTCGGAAGTGAAATCATGGAAGTTTCCCTCTGTCCTATACCCACTTGTTCTTTTATCTTTCTTTCTCTCCTATAAATTGGTTTCTACCCCCTTGTTCTGACTCTTCCTTGTCCCCCCCCTTTCCTCAGTAGTCACTTCCTAAACATGTAAAGATTCTTCAAAAAACTACAATATCATTAACATACCTAAAATTAATAAGTTCTTAATATTATCAAATGTGATTTTCAAAATTTGCCAGTTTTCTTATGCCTACTTACTTATTCTTTGCTTACTTATCTATTTACTTACTTATACTTTGTATAAGTCAGGCTCCAAATTAGGTAATTGATAGTTTTGTTTTGTTTTTAAATCAATATTTTCTTTCCTCTTCTCCTGTTTTTAGCCTTGTAATATATTTATTAAAGAGACTGGGTTAGTTTATTTGAATTTCCCAGTGTAGACATTATAAGTATGTAGTCCCGTGGTGTTGTGCGTCATGTTCTACTGTCTTCTGCATTTTTGTCAAATGATGTTAGATCCAAAAAAAAAAATGATGTTAGATCTAGATGTTTGATTAGATTTAGGTCTAGCTATCTTAGGGGGAGAGGAAGGAATACTTCATACAGAAAATCATGTCTTCCTACAGAGGCATATAATATCAGGTTGTCACTCTTTCTATGATGTTACTATCCACTGATGATCATTGTTTAGATGGGGATATTCCAATTCTGTCGCTTTTTCCCTCAGTTATTAGCTTGGAAATTCTATAAAGAAAAATTTCTCATCAGCTGTTTGGTTACCCAGAGAAATAGTTCATGTAGCAGAAGTAGAATAAAGGCTTGATTTTTACCCTTTTTTAAAGAGTTTCAAAATAACAGTGCTGATTCCCTATCAGTCTCCAAAGGGACCAATGAATTCCCTTTGGTGTGTGCTGAAATATTTGATGTGTTTTAATCTTTTGTAATTAATATTTTTATGGATAACTTTGGCTAGTGGAGGCGTCTTCAGTTTGGATCCTGAACCATTTTAAAGTGATGCTGATTTTGGTAGGATCCTTGCTTTGTGGCATGACAAGTGGTTTCAGGTGCATTTTTTTTTTTTTTTTACATTTTCTGCCCCAGACTTGAAATTAGTCATATCTCCAATGAGCAGTGGGGATATAGTATTTAGAGACCATGATCTGGGTGCTATAACATATATTTATTGAGCTCTAACAATGTGTTTGTATGTGCATTTCAATCCCCCATCCCCCTTAAATTATACCTAGTGTAACCTGTTATAGAAATTTTGAAACGGGACAACCAATGGGTCCGGGCTGCCTGTCACTACTTGAACCAATTCACCAGAGACAGGGTTGAATCATATGTGAGCATTTATTCCAATAATCCTGGCAGTATGGAAGAGCAGCAGGTCATCCACAAAAATCTGCTTTGCAACCCCCATAAGCCAGCTACTTATATTGGTTAGGGCAATATTACATGGGCAAGTAAGAATTATAGGCATGGGAAGCAGGTAATGGGGGCTGGGGTGAGACTCCATTGTTTGGGCAACAAGATTGTTAATCTTTCCATGATAATAGGCAATTCTTGAATGAGAATGGACCGCATTCCAAGGTTGACTGCAGGTCCTAGGTCAGTGATGGCGAACCTGCGACACGTGTGTCAGAGGTGACACGCGAACTCATTTTTTTGGTTGATTTTTTTGTTAAATGGCATTTAAATATATAAAATAAATATCAAAAATATAAATCTTTGTTTTACTATGGTTGCAAATATAAAAAAATTTCTATATGTGACACGGCACCAGAGTTAAGTTAGGGTTTTTCAAAATGCTGACACGCCGAGCTCAAAAGGTTCGCCATCATTGTCCTAGGTTGACTGCCAGCTCCGTGGTTGACTCCGGGGTTCTGGGCATACAACTCCCAGCCAGGTTAGAATGTCCTTTCTTTAATCAGAACAAGACAATCACGGTTAGCAGCATGATTAATATTTCTTATAACTATAGCTAGTCCCCAATATTCTATTTTTGCCCCTAACAACTTGACCAGACAGTTGAATAGGTGAACATTAAAGTCCCAGTCTTCCTTCTGAACCCTGTTCAAGGTTGATTTTATATTTGATGATGTTCAGCTTTTTCTATTTCAAAACTTTTATTTTTCACTTCAGTCTTTTGCTTCTGAGGATACTTCATCAGTGTTTTCTACAATGAAACTGAAGCTTCTGTGTTTTCATTCTCTTTCCTTTTTCTCCCTCATTAGTTATCTTTCTATCCAGTGACCTTGCCTTCAGGTAAGGCCTCGGGTTGTTGACTGACTGAAGTCCTGTGTGCACTTGTCCTTGGGGGAGGTTGGAAGCACAGTCGTCACAGGGGAGGGGCTTCTGGTGTGTTCCACGGTGGTCATGGTGCATTTTGTCTGAGATAGAGTAGTGGTACCTTAGCACCACGTGCTTCCATTTTTGCATGTCTAAGGAACATGCAACAAGTATATTTGTCAGCCTCTGTGGCAGCAGCTAGGCTGAAAAGCAAACGTTGAAGAAGATCCTTGGGGAAAGAACAACCCTGGGTCTGAGAAAAGATGACAATTTGTTGAATTGTCAGGAGCTTTGAACATGAAAACAAAATCCAAGCAATATTTAATTTCTCTTTTTTTGCTTTCTCCCTCTATTTTTTTAGATGCTGTTCGAACATTAAGCAATGCTGAGGATTATCTTGATGAAGATGACTCAGATTAATTTCTTTCTGAAGCTTTAAGAGCTAAAACTTCTGTTGCTTTTGCCATTCCAAAACCTTGTCTTTGCCAGAAGAGTGTTGGTAACTGTTTTTTGTTTTTGTTTTTTAATGTCCATATGAACGTGGAACGTGGCAGTATTGCACTGTGTTTGAGTAGAACATGTAAATGAATAGTTCTCACCTTTGGTTTGCCAATAAGTGACTGGATTCTTCGCTGTATAAAGTAAGTTTTTGTTTAACAGAATAGAATAAGAAGAGATTATTGCTATTTATCAAGTTAAAGGAATTTTAAGAATTTATTTCTTTAAAAAAATCAGGATGGTTTTATAAATTAAATTTCTTTACCTCAAGGATGTTTTGAATGGATTTTTCAAGGGGAGAAATGCTTATTATAATAATAAACCAAAAGACAACAGAAAATTGTCAGTTATTCTGACAAAAATAAACATTTTAAGAGACTTTTTTTCCTTTTGTCTGTTTTTCTGGTATGACTCTGTGCCGGTAAATAAAGAAGTTTTTTATATTTAGGTAAAGACTGAGTTTATTTTTTTAATTATATTTTGTATTTGTTAGCACAGGAGAATCATAATAGCCAAATCTCCTTTCAACTTTCTGTATCTGCTTTGATTAAAGTCAAGACAATAATCACTGAAAAGATACCTTTCTAATAAAATATATAACTTTACTGAGAATGAAACTTTCAGTTTTATCTCTAAGGTTATACTTGGTATGAAGAAACCTAGCAGCTCATTGTTTAAGGTTTGAAAGGTTAGAAAAGAAATGACTGCCTTGGCCAGGTAGCTCAGTTGGTCAGAGCGTCGTCTCGATAAGCAAAGGTTGCGGGTTTGACCTCTGTCCAGAAGCAACCAATGAATGCATAAATGAGTGGAACAACAAAATGATGTTTCTGTCCTGGCTCTCTCTCTAAAATCAATCAATAAATGCTTTTTAAAAAAGGAAATGATTTCCTTATTATGGAAGATGCCATAGTTTTCTATGGTGGAGTAGCCAGGAGCCATGATATTTTTTGGCTTTCAGTTTTTCACATTGGTTTTCTCATGATTCGGATTCTTTTGCTAAAACACTAATTAACATTTTAGGGAGCCTTCTGTACTATCGAAGTGACGCTTTATTTGAGCTTCGAGTTTTTATCACTACTGTGATGATATTAAAAATGACACGGCCCGATTCTAGGCACTAGGCTTCGGACTATATTTTGCAAGAAGACTTCAGTACTCATTTCAAAAAACATATTGGTGAAGAGAAGGAAATGTTTGAAGAAGGAAGTGGGTTAGCTCAGGAAACGAATAACTGCCTCTAGTCTATAAGGCTTTCCTCTGTCTGAGACTGTTTGGTTTTTCTCTCTGTGGGTGCCTTGAGAAACGATACTCTGAGAAGCCTGTTCGAGGTCTTTAAAAAAATTACCCCAACTCAATTTCAGTAGGAAGAAGTGACAGCAAAAGATAAGCACAAAATCTGAAATTAACAAAAAAGGATACTTTATTCTCAAAACAAATGTTATTAAATGTGAGGTAAACATTTGTATTTCTTCATAAGCATAAATTTGAAGATATGAAATCATTGTTGAAAATATATCTGTTCTCACAGAACCTTTAAGGATTTGTTCTTTAAAAAGGGGGTTTGTACCATAACAAAAAGCTTTTGGAAATCTCTAACTTTTTGTTCCAGTACACTGTGGGCCTGGGATAATTAGGAAAGATGCCAACTAAACACTCCTAATTTTAAACATGGGCAGAGATAATACATGCATGGATATAGATAGTGTTTATGAAAATATTCCATGCTTGATGTAGATATATTATTTATGTATTTGAGGAAAAGAATAGTGGGGACTTCACTGTCACTGCTTTTAACATTTTCAAACCTATGAAAATTCTAGAAAGTTGGCCAACTATAGTTTTTTGGAGGAGTGAAGGGTGGACTTAGGGGTTTGCATGACTTTTTGGTGAAACAGGACAATGCATTTAGCTGTGGTTGAAACTCCATGGTGAAATTTACTTTTGCTACTTGCTTATTCAGCCTAGCCGATCTGAACTTTCTCAGAGATTGTTTCATGCTGAAGTCAGCAACAAAAATTGGTTCTAGGAACTTGCCACTGCTCTGCCCCTGCAGAGGAGAGCTTTGATTATGTCCTGGGAATGACTTTGGAGATTTTGCTGTAACCTGAGCTTTCTGACAGTCACAGTGGCCTGAACTCCTTCCCAGCCTTTGCATCCTTTAGAAAGAAAATGCCTTTCAGGCTCCTGGGCCAGGGTACCTCAGAGTGCTTGTTCAGCTACCAGCCCAGTAACCTTGAGCAAAGAACATTCTTTTTTTCTTATCAGAGTTTCCCATTTTAGATCCCTTTATGGGACTGGTCTGTTGCAAATTACTTATCGTTGGATTGCCATGCAATTACAGCTCTCAGTTTCTGTATTTCCTTAGTGAGCCCCCCAAATGGCCTCTTCTCCTTTTTCAGTAGATTGGCTATTTAACCAAAGGGAAACATGGACCAAATCAGTGGTGACCCTATTTTTTTTTTCTTTCTTGCACAACAAATTGGAAATATGCTGAAAGTGATATCGCAGATAATTTTGGGTAGAGAAAAATATAATTTTTTCCATGTATGCTTTCTTCACAAATGTTCTTTATTGTCAGTTTCTGTATTTCCTTAGTGAGCCCCCCAAATGGCCTCTTTTTCTTTTTCAGTAGATTGGCTATTTAACCAAAGGGAAACATGGACCAAATCAGTGGTGACCCTATTTTTTCTTTTCTTTCTTGCACAACAAATTGGAAATATGCTGAAAGTGAAATCGCAGATAATTTTGGGTAGAGAAAAATAAATTTTTTTCCATGTATGTTTTCTTCACAAATGTTCTTTATTGTCTAGAACTTCAGAATTACTGATATTTCTTATTTTGAGCTCTGTATTTCACATCGTCATAGGTGATTTCTTTTCTAATAGGCTGTAGGGCCTAGCATTTACATCTGATCATCACTATTTCCCTATTAACTTTGATTTTGTGTTTGTTCCGTGAAATTTTTTACGTTGTAAATATGTATGTAGCAGTAATATACAGAGCAGCCATACACTGAGCAGCCCAACTTCGAAGTGTCTGACTACTGAACGTTGAGGTTTTGGTGGGAGAGGTATTGCAAAAGACTCTGTTCTCCCTATTTTAACGGAAAATACAGCCTTGGTGAACATTTTTCTTAAGTGAAGGAAAAATTGCAGACCACAAATTTATGGTTTCTGTCTCCTTATTTTTTAAATAACAAGCCTTTACATCTGCCCCTCCCTTAAAATGACATAAAATTAAATAAAACTATCATTTATTGAATGCCTTCTCTGTCAGTTCCTGTGCTAGGCACTTTCGATGACATGATGTCATTTGATCTTTACAGCAAATGTTCACCGGGGTGGTGAACGTTAAGGCCCCTGTGTCTCTACAGAGAAGTTGAGGTTTGAAGAAGCTAAGTAACTGGCTTAGGGTCACAATGCTTGAAGGTGGAAGTGCAGGTGTGGCTGACTCCTGAGCCAATGTACCTGCGGCCTACTGCTACCAGCAGATGATGCCATCCACGTTCTCAGAAAAAATATGCAGAAATAGACCAGCTCCTCTTCCATCTCTATCCCTGGATGTGGCATCTAATAAATTCAAAATACCTACTAATTTAACTAAATGTGTTGTAGAAGCAACTCTAAGAACTTTTTTTTAAAGGATTTTCTTTTTTTCCCCCCAGAAAAATTTTGGCAAAACGTTTTGGTTCCTGGTAACCCTGCAGAAATATTTAGTGAAGCAGGTTGTACCCCTCAAAATTTCCATGTAAATGAAACCAAATACACATTAAAGAAAGAAAGGCTAGACTAGCAGTTCACCTTGTCTGAGTTTGCATTGCTAAATTCAACTTTTCCCTCAGACAGTCTGAGACCTCCTCACGTATTTCCACATAACCCTGAAAATAAATGCGTCCCTGGGAAGGGTCACAGAATGTTATCTTACTCCAAGTCTGGGAGCTCGTGGTAGATGTGGAGGTAACCTCACACTGCCATGCAGTTCTGTTGTTTTCTGCCAAAGGCCATCTGCTTGAGGTTCCCAATAGGCTCAACCTCTGCCTCACTTGCACCGTTGCCAACTGGGGGCTGGAATGGGGCCAGGTTTTGGCTGTGGCTGGAAAAGACAACTGAAGAAGTTCAAAGGTCGGAGTTAGAGAGCCCGAGAAGAACCAGAAAGGAAAGTGGGAGAAGAGACAAGTAGGAAAAAGGCTGAAAAACAAAGGAGAAATGGTGACCCTTTTAAAATCACCCATAGTTCTGATGTGACATCATGAGAATGCTTCAAGAAGTGGCTAAGAGTGTATGGGCTTTGCAGGGAAACTCTGGGTTCAAGTCTGGCTCTGCTGATATTGCTGAATGACCTTGGGCAGATGACCTAAAACACTTCGCTTCCCTAGCTCTAAAATGGGGGAAGCAAGTGCACCTACTGCCTAAAGTTAAGAGGATGAAATAAAATGAGCTATGTAAATAACTTAGAATAGTGCCCAGCAGAGTCATTGCTCAATAAATATTGGCTATACTCATATGCCCCCATGAGGAAGTTTTCATTAAAAACATATAAATGTGTATGTGTGAAGGATGTGTCAACAAATGTTTTTCAAAGTCACCACTATTGTGAAGAGTGAGATATTCTAAAATACTTTCAAAATGAATGGAGGACACTGATGTTTCCTTTCAATCATTTAGGTGTGTTTACATGTGGTCGTTTACATGTGTTTACATTTTCAATGTAAATGTACTTATTGAGAGTTATGGAGAAGGGGTATATAACTAGGAAAAACGTGGTTATTATTATTGAAATAATTCAAAGTTCAGGTGAGGAGACTGTCTCTCCCACTGTCTCTGTTTTACATTGTTGCTTTGGAGTAGTTCGGTGGGCTTGACATCCATGGGTTTAATATTTGGTTTGGGACGATTTCAAGTTAGAAGGCTATTTGATATACCATCTTGCTTATATTTTTTCAAAACAGAAACAGTCCATATATTCCAATAGATAAGCTTTGCAACTTAATATGTTTCTCCTATGAGATTGAAGCTTCAAGAATTTAGTTAAGCCCTAACCAGTTTGGCTCAGTGGATAGAGCATCGGCCTGCGGACTGAAAGGTCCCAGGTTCGATTCCGGTCAAGGGCATGTACCTTGGTTGTGGGCACATCCCCAGTAGGAGGTGTGCAGGAGGCAGCTGATTGATGTGTCTCTCTCATCGATGTTTCTAACTCTCTATCCCTCTCCCTTCCTCTCTGTAAAAAACCAATAAAATATATTTTTAAAAAAAGAATTTAGTTAATCATTGTCAATGAGATAGAGAATCTATGACATTAGAAGTTAAGTATCATACAATCTTCACTAACTTTGAACATGAAGGCAATAGAGTAAGAACTAAATGGGATATTTCCTTATTCCCCA